TTTCCGCCTTCGACGTCGGGGAACCGCTGGATCATCGTCGCCACAGATTATCTCACGCGGTACGCCGAAACGAAAGCTCTTCCTTCGGGGACTGCTGTGGAAGTTGCCAAGTTTTTCATTGAGTCCATCGTCCTCCGGCACGGCGCTCCAGAAGTTCTGATTACAGATCGCGGATCATCGTTCATGGCACAACTGACCCAAGAAATCCTCCGACTCAGTCACACCAGCCATCGTCGTACAACTGCGTACCACCCGCAGACCAACGGGCTGACGGAGCGACTCAACAAGACAATCGCAGATATGATCTCTATGAACGTCGACGTAGAGCACAAGACGTGGGACGAGGTGCTGCCCTACGTCACGTTCGCCTACAATACGGCGGTTCAAGAGACCACTGGATTCACCCCTTTCCAGCTGGTACATGGTCGGAAGGTAACGACCATGCTGGACGCCATGCTGCCCCATGAGCCATCTGACAACGAGAGCGACGACGCCCAGGCGGTTGCTCAACGCGCCGAAGAAGTTCGCCAGCTCGCCCGACTCCTGATTCAAGACCAGCAACGCGTCGACGCCGGCCGCTACAACCTTCGTCGCAGAGACGTCCACTTCCAGCCCGGAGATAGGGTGTGGGTATGGACGCCCATCCGTCGCCGCGGCCTCAGTGAGAAATTGCTGAAACGATACTTTGGACCCTACAAAGTGCTTCGTCGCCTCGGTGATCTTAACTACGAAGTCCTCCCCGACGGAACGCGCCCATCTGCAAGACGTCAGCCGCGACCCGAGTTGGTGCACGTCGTCCGGCTGAAGCCGTATTACGAACGATAGAACTTTCCACTCTCGTCGACGGGTGAACTGTGAACAGCGGCTCGCGATTCTGCTGCCTTTTTGTTTTGGATTTGTTTTTGTTTGTTGTTTTTCGTTTTGTGCTGCATCGGGACGATGCACTTTTTAAAGGGGGGGATAATGCCGCGCGCAGGGTCACGGACTTGTAGAAAGTTCTCGTTCACTCTTGCTGCGGACATGACTATCGTTCATCCCTGTTTTTGTTGTTCTAGAAAGTGCTTGTTCATTCTCGCCCCGAGCGCGCTACGCTCGAACCTTCTCCGCCGAATCTTCGAGATACTGACTCACTCTAGATAAGAGGCCGCCCGCGACCTTGTCGAGAAAATCTCGCCCCAGCGCTCGATTCTGCTGACACGCCGACTTCGACGCCCGCGACGCTCTGCTTTCTTCTGTTTCCTTCTTTATTTTTGGCACAAGTTCGCCACATTAAACGTTTATTTATTTCTGTTTATTTCTTGTTTATTGGTCACGACTCACCACCCGTGACAATATAACGCTTTTATAAACTATGAATATGGTGATATTCCGTATGTTTAAAATGAAATATTGCGTTACGTTTCTACCTGGCAAATTTTATTTCAGAAAATTTGCCGCCGATACTAAGCAACGACTTGGAAATGTCACGAAATTATCCCAAGGTATGGCCATCTCAAAATCTCGATGGCAATTACCAGCAAATAACCCGATCGACTAACCCTCTTACGACACGGGCAAAAGACGGCAAAAAAAAGAAAAATAATCCTGATCGAAATCATCCTACGCAGAATGTTCCCGGACAGAATTGCACATCGAGATCAACATTAGAGGCAATGGTTGGATTCGGCCATGTTTGAAACGCGTCGTACACATTCGTCCTGCATGTAACTGCTGTTGCCAGCTAAAGAAAAGCAAAAAAAAAGGAAACAGAGACGACCGAGAAACGAAACATTGATCGCAATACTTTAACCCATTAATCGGCCCCGATGGCGCCCTCAAGACGCGCGTTAAGCCCGTTTAGCGTTCTCGTGACGCACGCTCTAATGGCACGCGCTCTCGTATTGCTGAGCTCAAGCGTCGCGGGCTCTCCTACTGGCGCTCTTGCGTGGTGTGCTCTCGAGGCGCTCTCTCCACTGATCTCTATTGTAGTAGGCTAAATCGCAGATCGTGAGCCCGTTGGTGGCACCACCGGCGGCCATTACTTGACACCAGGCAATACACTCAAGTCTATGGGCGACATAAACAGAAGAAGGAATACTGAAGCTTGTACGCTGTGCTCGAAGAAGAGTATTGTATTATGTGCCGCGATCATTATATCAGCTGTCTGGATACCAAATCGGTATGTGTCAAGTGTTCGAACGCCGATTAAAAATATCAAACGTGCAGGAGCACGCGGCTGAGCTGGCAAGCTTGGTCTCGTAGTGGAGTAAACAAAGTAACTTGCCGTCAATGAGACCGCCCCGGGGAAGCCCAGAGGTTGATGAATGTTGAAAAAGTTCAACGTTAACAGCGACTTTCCGGGCGTGAGCTAATTCCGCGTAGCAAAGCCTACAAGCTTGTCGTCTGCTAAACCCAACCTGTCGAAACCGCCACAGACTCCGCGGTAACTCTAGGTGACTGTTCTTTCAATGCGCTGCACTACATTTTTCGCCCAGCGGAGTCACTCTTGACCGCAAAACACTGATTTATAAGATCTGTGAGGGCTGTCAGTTTTAATGTTCGTCCACAAGCTATTTCGCTGGCTTCCAAAACAGCAGCCAAAAACTTTCAGTGCCGACAACGCTTTAGGAGCGGGGGAAATGATTTTTTTCAGTCGTTTTACCTTGAGTCCTATGCATTGTTGTGACCGAGGAGTTCCGGAGGCAGCCTCAGGCAGGACCAGGCGAAGACAAGGATCGCAAACTGACTCCAGGCAGGAACATCAGCAGGAGACGGGAGGGTCTCTCATGATTAACTCTGTTTAATTACATATCTACAGAAGTTTCTACATCGTCGGAGAGCGCCGAATGGGCAGCGAAAAGGTCCTTATATAATAAAACCGGTGTTCTGGAGCTGCCGTGCCATTGGTTGGTTAGGGCCGTATTCCAAAGTTGGCCTCGACGTCAGCCTCCTCCTCTCGGCCCTGATGCTCGGTCGTTGTTCTTCTCCGAATTGAGGGCGACTAGTACGGGATTGTCTTGCGTACGGTAGACTAAGACACAACAGACAGTCCATCTGTTCAGGGTCGGATTCTGTCTGGCGTTCTCGTAGAATGCAGACGCCTCCGTGGAATGCAGACGCCGTAGACAGAACACACCGACGGCAACGTTCTCGTGGAAGGCATACGCAAGGCAGACGCCGTAGACAAAGCACACCGACGGGAACGTCGGTTCTGATGCCCTTGGGCCAAGGGCCAAGAGAAACGCTTCTCCAGTTTCGGTCGAACGTGCGAAAAGGGTTCGGATCGCACGCCAACCGTCTCGACGTTCGCTTGGTCGTCGTCCGCACCGGAATGCAAGGTCGATCTTCACAAACACAGGGAGATCGAGACGGGTCATAACAGCATCAACAACGGCTCAGACGGGTGGTTTTCGATTATAAACAACACGGTCGGGCGGGCACAAAGAGAGGGCAAAGGAAGAGACGCGGCCCCGGCCAAGGCCGATCGCAACAGCACGAGCTGGTGTCAAGGGATGGCTTCCAGCGGTGTCACTTGACCCCCGTAAGAGAAGCCTCGACCGCGATCCAGCCTGCTACAATAGAGATCAGTGGCTCTCTTTTCTTGCAGTCATACAATGTGGTCAGTTCCACGTTAAGTTCGACGCCTTCATGTCATAATCAGAAGATAAGAGGTTAGGCGACCCTACATTTGAAACGGTCACCTTAAAGTTAGGCAATAAAGTTTAACCAATGGTGAGTTATCCAAAGTCTAAATATTTCAAGGAGGCATAATGTAAAAAACACTGAGCTTGCAGCAATCACAGTGTAAAGAAATAAGCGTGCTCTTTAAAGCATCCAGACTGTTGCCTTCAACAGTAGTACCCTAATGTTCAGAATACATCGCGCACGCTAGAGTTACACAATATTTAAATGACACTATTCATAAAACGTCTTACAGTCAGCCCCCTTCAGAGAGTTGGGAAATATTACATATAAACACGTAGTTCTAAACAGTACCGTGACGCTGGGGATTTAAAGGGTTACTCACTGTTTTGTTAAATACTGATTTTCAACAGGTTCAAAATAAACATTTGTCCTTGCCAGCTGAAACAGTGTGGTTGTCTGTTAGCGTCCTCCGGGTTAGATATATTTTTTTTTAATAATTCTAAACTACAATATTTCAGCCAATTCATCGTAATTAAATGTATAGTGACAGAATTCCAGGAAATGCATAGTACAGCATTCTTAGAAAGGACAAAATAACCAGCGGTTTAACGTGCGATCTCCCTCATGTGGAGGAACCGTCAGTTTTCGCCTCAGCAATTTTAATAGTTAAAAACTTGAAAAGAAAACAAATCCGCCAAGCTGGCCGCTTGGGCTGTCTTCCATTTCGAGAATTCATCAAGAACATAAAATATTTTGGTTGAAATTAAAATTTTGACCCTGAAACCGTGCTTGAGTTGAAACGAAAACCCACAATAGCTACTGATGTTGAATAGCTAGAAATAAAAACAGAAAAGCACTGCTGCCTTTTACCTGACTTATTTCAAACTGCTCCTCAAACTTGGAAACATATACGTCTCGCTGTATCCCAGTACAAATTTAAGGTCAGCCATGCAGATGATCAAAACGGTTGCCGTTTCTCGAGCTGGAAGTTTCTGTTTCGCAATAGACAACCAAATCACAACTTAGAGGCTGAATTTATACAAAACCTCAGTAGGCACCACAAACAAAATCGAGCTCTTAATTTAGAAACACATTTGGCACCAGAAACAGTGAGATTATAAAAATTAGACAAAACGTAGCGGAGTTTCCCTTTAGGCAAAAGTGCGTACCTGCAACGAGCGATCGTAATCATTTAGACCGCGACCTCGTTCGTCAAACATTTTAAGAAACCAAATGCGCGTTTACAAAAGTCCCTCGAATTCACCCGAGCCTTTGAGAGTTGTCCATATGAAGAATCGTCCACGCGTCCAAGTTGACGTAAGTTAGAAGCAGCAGATGCCTCAGGGTGTACGCTCAGATTCATTCCGCAATTTCAGGACTCCGAGCTGACTGTTCTGGAACTACGAACCACATTCTGGGCACCCTGTTGGTAAGTCACGCCATTTCATTTTAGTTTCGAAGCACAAACGTTGAGCGTAATGATGGTTTCAAACCCGTTCAATCACGAAATGTTTCATGCGCCGAGCACATTTCCGCCTCACTTTCACCGGCAAAAATAGACTAATCTCAAAGGGTGTTCCACGCATGCGTCATGCCGCCATAATTGTAGTCAACAGGAATCAGCCACAAGCGCGGGAGGTAGCACCCTCGTGGTCTGCTAGCGCAGACCCGCAGAGGGTCGGCATCAAGTAAATTACTACGGTTCCCAGAAGCCATGGCGAGAGCTATGACGTACCAAAACCGATGGAGATGTCGGTCGATTCACAGTCCATGAAATGGCTTGTGGTGTGTCGATGTTAATGGGTGTTTCGCCAAGTCCGCGACACATCTACCATTTAACGTGACTCACTCAGTACACGATCCACAAGCCGGCATGACGCTCAATCTCTCCGCGTGCTCTGACCTGTGGTGCGCTGTAGAACTTTCGTGTGACGGCCGCCATAATTAATTCTGATGTAGCTCGATTGGGGTGGAATACAAAATTACTTTTTTTTCCTCTCTACTGGAAGGTATCAAAGGTAAGGGATTCAAACCATTTTTTTTTGTTATAAAGTTTACATTCCACTTGGATCTAAACAACTCATTTTATGTTTTGTCGTTCAACCAGTTACATCACTTCCACCCCGTAAAACCGTTTTGCACCTGGGGACAATTTTCTGAGGCAATGAAGACAAACCTTAAGGTGCCCGTGCTCTCAATACTTTGAGCGTTGATCGAAGATTTTCACGCGCACTCCTACGTTTTAATGAAACGCCAAAAAATCTTACCTCAATAAAAAGCACTAAATAAACGTATACGCGGTGTATTAATGGGATATTTTAATAGGAGAGCCTAGTAAATTTACAGGATTATTTACTGGACGCCATATTTGAGGGTGGTGTTTAAAGCGCATGTTCAGAATGAGTTCACGTTACTACTCTACTAAGTCCGGGCGCTCGATAATAAAAAATGCACGCTGCAAAAAAACTATGGAAGCTCGCCGCCAGTCCGCGCTCAGAGACCACGCACAGAGATATGGCCGCCTGTTAACGCTTCCTATAATTTAATCAATACTGCAGCTTGGGCGAGTTGGCGGATCATGCATGCTTTCACTTCACAGCGCACAAGAACAGCCACACTTCAAAAATTCACTCACACAAAGAAAGAACTTTAATACACAATTCACATTATCGTAAAGGTACCTTTAGCGAAGGAACCATTATTATCTGCGGCCAATCAATTCATGATTTTCCGCGCGTGGCACGCGCTCGCGACACAAGAGCACGGGCTCATTCGCCGAATGCAAAGGCACCTATTTTCGGGGGGGGGGCTCGGCCACCTTCCCATATTTTTTCTTGGACCTCCTCTCCCTCCTCTCCCTCATAAGGAATTCTGTCTTAAGCGCCCCCCCCCCCCCCCCCCCCCCCCCGAAACAAAATCCTGGCTACGTGCCTGCTTTAGGCTGCCAGTGTGAATTGGGTATACACTGCGCTGCCTCTCAACTCTGGTTTGCATTCTGCTTTATCTGCATATTCTTTTACTCCTTTATATGAAAAAAACTAATTCAAGCTTCATATTGTAGGAAATAGCGCAAAAGTGAAATCTCTCACACTAAAATACGGGCACACCAATAAAAAGGCCACTCACGTTGCGCTGCCTTTTTTCTGGCAACCTTTTTTCTGGTGTGCGTGTGTTTTCTATGCGAGTGAGCTTACTTTCGCGCTATTTCCTACATTATTCCCCAAACGAAATAGAAAAGATAGCGTCGATGGTGGCGAAACACCAGGATCGAACGCTGGGGCGAGACTGACTCCGCTCCCCTTGCGGAGTCCCTTATGTATCCTCGTGGATTACTGGAACACTCGGCACAGAACTTTCGGCGCGTAGAATATTCGGGACTTGATCAGACGATAATTTTTGTCGAACTTACGAGAACGCCAAGTTGAAAGAATAAATACAGGAACATTCCGCTGACTGGGATTGAAACCTAGCCCTTCGGCGCAACAGTCAAGCGCGGTAACCATTCGGCCGCGCACGCGCTCGCTCGGCGACGCGCCTGGCAATATAGCCTGACAATGTTCATAGTTTCTACGATCTGTCGCGTTTGTGGAGAACACCCGCCATCTCGGCAATGGATGCAGGCTCTTCTGGAGAGAGGCACTGCACATAAAACAAGATTTTTGCTTTTAGGGGCGAAGCTCCTTAGGGACTAGCCATGTCCGCATGTCCGTCCGATATCCGGCGTTGGGTGCTCGTTCTCACGAGCACGTGAGCACGTGCTCCCGTGCTCGTGTAGGAAAAAAAACGCACCTCCACGTGGTGAATCATGTTGATTGGGGCGAAGCTCTGGTGGTGCTTGTCTGCGTAGACACTGAGTCGCAGCATGCCGAGCCTTTCGTTCGTTTTCGTCCATGTCAGAAAAAGAATGTGTGGTATGGAACGTGGTTATATACGCATTTGAGCATTTGACCGCGGCGGGACATGGACGAAAACAAACGAAAGGCTCGGCATGCTGTGGCTCAGCGTCTACGCAGACAAGCACCACCAGAGCTTCGCCCCAATCAACATTATTTCTCACGTGGAGATGCGGTTGTTTTTTCTAGCACTCTTGGAATTGGCGTTGTTCTTGAAGCTTAGTGACTCTGCATATGTGACGATCTTGCACTACAATATGTGCGAAGGTTCCAAAAAAACGGGCTTTTTAAAAAAGCGGAGCCCCCTTACTGCGTTATGCCGAAAGCATTAACAAACATGGCGGCGCCCATGGAACTGAGCAGACACGGGTCTACATTTCGTGCTCCATTCTTACTTTGCAAAACGACGAATATATGCTTGCTGGCCTGTGGAGTAGGTAGACTAGGCTGTCGAATTGCAAACACTTTAAATCGGATGGACAGACTCACTGTCCATCCGATTGTCACCCGCCTCAAAGCTGAGTTGAACGGGCTCTGCCTGTCTTTCATGTCTCCAGCCCAAGGGTGTCGCTGCTCGCCGAAGCACGTTGTGGCTCGCCGGAATGCAAGATATAGAAAACTTTAGATGTGTAATTTTCCTTCTCACCTCCACTCCAGCAAGTAGCGGCTCGCTGGCGGTCAGCGGGCACAAAGTGAAGTACACTTTTCATGCCCGTCGTGACTCGGTCAGTGGGCAGAACAAGAAGTGCATTTTGTGCGCCGCGTTAAGTACACTTAAAGTATACTTTTAAGTGTATTTGAAGTTGACAAAATGTGTGCTCTTAGCATACTCCAGCCGACTGAATTTTCACTTTTTGTGTACTATACCGTGTTCTTATAGTATGCTTATAGTGTACTATACGATGGGGGCCTTTTGGCTCATAACTGCGGCAGAAAGAATCGTGCCCGGCGCTCGGCGCGTAAGCGGTGCGCGCAAGCAAAGCTGGGACTCAGACCTTGTATAATATATGCCTCGTACATTCCTCCTGGGAGTTTTTCCTTATATGGACCTACGATAGCGGTGCTCGACAGATTAGGAGTACGTGCACAGGATTGACGGTGCAGAGGCATGTGTCCCCCCCAAACGTCAATCTCATAGAGAGGGTATGTTCACGTAGCCTATTATTAATAAATCTTCCTTTTGTCCCACGTACGTTCTGTGGTAGAACGTACGTGGGACAGACAGGAAAAACTCGCCAGAGAAATTTACGAGGCGTATTAGCGGCGAGATGTTTCGGTGGCGCCCTCGTTTGGTTACCTTTCGTGACGTCATTACCTTGTGAACGACAAGTTCGATGGTGTTTGTAATGGACATGGTGGAAGCCTGAAATCATAGGGCTCTCAAAGCAACACTGCCAACACCGTCAAAATTGAAGTCCTTACATTCCTCTTATTTCCGTCGGTGAGACATCCTTTGCTGACGTCGTAGTCAGCATTCGGCCAATTGTGGCGGGCCGACGACAGCGACGCTTTCGATCGCTCACGTCGCCAATAGTATGCAAGGTCTGGGGGAGCACTGCGTGAGCCATGCTTCTCTTACTCTACTTGATAAGAATCTTTTTTTTTTTAAACGCTTTGATGCACTAAAACCATTCCCTCGCTCCCTAGAGTTCGCGTGCCATGAGCACATGCCTGTTGGTTATATGTCACCTTCTTTCTTCTTCTCTTCTGGATGAAATACTGAGTTGTGAGTTCAGCGTCTATCCTGTCTCTTGTAGCTGTCCTGTTGAGAGGAGAAAGAAGTGTCACCAACCCCGTTTGTGTTTTCCAAACAGGGGTCGACGGCGACGCCGACGCCGCTCAAGCCGGAAACGGGCGCCCAAGAGCTGCGCTCTAAAATGTCTAATCTATATGTGCCCGCACTAAATTTCCCTTAAATGCTGCACATGACGAGTTCATTATTGAGGGTGAAAAAGCCGTAAAACACTCGTAATAATTGAAAACAAGTGTAGGTCTAATATCTATTCTATTTGTGCTTAGATCAGTGGCCCCTTAGGTAGAAATGTTTTCATTGAAACATACACGACAGCTTTGTCCTGTCGTGTATGTTTATCCCATCGTCTTCGTCATTTGAGCTATTTTCAACATGTATAGCGTTTACTAACTCGCCCATTTCGCCCCACCTTAGTACTTTTCAATTATCCACGAAATACCTACAACTAGGAGTGATCCCAATAACATGCGTAAACGCACTGCCGCTAACCCTATGCTCGAAGAAAATGAGATTACATGTCTCCATACCTATCAAACAACCGTCTGTAAAACACACCAGGATTTGTGAAAAGTCTTGAAGTACCATGTGAAATATTCTGAGAGGTCGGAAATGTCCATCGAGGCTTTTAAGAGGCATGACGTACCATTCAAGATTTCCTTAAGGGTGTGAGAGGCCAGCCATTGTTTTGAGAGGTCAAAATTCTTTCTGTGAAAGCACATGACATACCAAAATAGTTTTAAGAAGTATGTGGGAGAGATCAGGAGACCCTTCAGGATATTCCCGCGGGCGCAGCTGCCGAAGTTGGCAGCGCGCCCGTGGCCTTACGGTTATTGCGCTTGCCTTCCACGCAGAAGGCTGGGGTTCGATTCCTGACCGCGTCTACACGTTTTGTTGACTGTGGAATGTGATGTTCTGGTAAATTCGGGAACCGCCTTGGCTGAATCGAGGTTAGAATGTGCGGCACATCGAGCCTTCTACAATGAATGTTCCAGAAGGCCATGCATGTACAAAAGGGGCTCCGCGTGGCAAGTCAGAGGCAGTCTCGCCCCAGCGGTTTCGACTCTGTTCTTACGCCGACTTCGACGCCCGCGACGCTCTGCTGTTATCTTCTCTTTCCTTTTTTTTTATTTTCGGGCACAAGTTCACCCCATTAAACGTTCAGTTAACTCAGTCATTCGCCGCCTCATCACTTGTCATTCGTGGCAATATATCCGTCGGGGAAGTCGCTTTATAATTTTATATTGGGGGCCGCAAGGAACGCTCGCTCAGTGTTGTCTTTCCGTCTCAAGTGTTAGATATTTCTTCTAAAACAGTTCGGCGTGTGGATAAGGAAGAAGGTCTTTTAGTGCCTTGTTTTTTTGCGCCTCTCTGCCCGGCCGGATTCAGAAACTCGCCTAGCGAGCGACAAAGACACCGGAGACGCCACCGTTATGTCACCAGAAACGGCATTGTGATCGTGCTCAGGATTTTATCAACGGCATCGGATGTTGGTTTGCGTTCATGGTTTTGTTAAAAGTGCTACTGAGAGTGTGTAGGTTTACATGGATACAACCGTAACGATTGAATTAGCTAGCTAATTGAGTCCACTTTAACCACGGCGACACCTCGTGTCGACGGATTACTGCATAACCCAGGTAACCTGTCAGTCGTTTCCGGTTTGACCACCGTGTCGGATATTGCGGCGTCGGGGGGATGGGAAGTAGAGGAGTTTATCGGCGACGACGTGGTCTGGACGGTGGCACAAGGTGGGGGGAGCAACATTGAAAGTCATCTAGCCTTTCGTCTCTCCCTCTCCCATCCCCGCCCTTCAGGCATTCGAGTCGACTCGCTAGACTTTACAAAAGTCTCGCTTATAGTGGCTTTGGGTTGAAAATATCAAACCACATTCTTCAGATGGATTTGATCGGACAACTACGCTAGATGAGCTTGGCTAGCGAAATGAGAATTGGATGATCCGGTGTGCAAACTGGATTCGATGCACTATTGTCGCATCCATGAAAATGTAGTATGCGTGCGGAGCACCCGCTAGGTTTTAAGAGTTGAGGTGTCGTACATCTCAGGAATTTATCCTGCGGCATTGACTACCCCTAAGTATATTGCTTGTTGACAAGAAACTCAATTGCCGCTATTTGACGTGATAGCTTCTGTCTATAGCTGTTTGCTCCCGGATTCGAGTACACGTTGGTTCTTGTCTTTCTTACTTTCAACATAAGTATAAAAGACGGACTATATTAAACTTCCAATCACGTTTTAAACTACTGTTTTTTTATGGTTCACGTCATTTGGGCGTCTAAAGAGTTGTAAACCTTTTGAGGTGTGAACGACCGAAGGGTTTGAGAGGCTGATTCATTTTAAGTGGCCGAAGGGGTTTGAACGGCTGAAGGGGTCTGATGGGTTGGAGGCTTAAAGGGAAGAGCAGGTCCCATTACACATCAGTGCTAAAGGGATAATTTAAATAGGGATGCACCTTTAGTCTGTGCTAAATATTATTTCTAAAAAATGCTGAAATATATTTGCTTTCTTTGCAGCAAGCGGGCCTTGCGCCCGCTTCGGCGCACAAGTTATAATTTTGAAGAGCAAGTAAAATAGCGCCCGCAGTACCCAGATTATTGTCCAGCTCCATCGTTGATATGAAGTCACGAATATGTGCCCTTTGGCGTTGCCGAGATAAGCTACTGAGTGTATATAGCTCTGTTACTAAATCAAAGCTAGATTTGTATAAAACAAATGTGTACTTGGAGCAAGTGTCACTAGCATAAAGGAGGTCCTACACTGGAAAAAAAACTCAATGAACATAGAAAGCCTTTTAGGAAAAAGTTTTAGGTGACATCCGCAACGATAAGTTATCGATCAATAGAGATACTTTTTTTAGATTAACCATTTTATGTGTTTGAAAGAACAGGTCAAACGGTCAAACACACAAAATCAGACTGATCCTTTCGCGTATTCTTTCGTCTTGAAAACCATTTAAGAGTGGATTAGGTTGCCGCTAAATCTGTTCAAGGCCAATTTTTAAGGTGCTCTCTGATGCTCAGTGTTTTTTTATATTATATTATTCGTTATAGAAATATACTGAATCTTTGTATTAGAAGTGGTCTTACAAAAAAAATATGTAACCCACACTTCCAATAATGGCTCAAGGCGGTGCAATTTTTCTGTAAATAAAAACAAAAATATGCCTGTCAATTGTTGTTTCCATGCAGAACCGAACCGTTTTCCATGTGTCTTCCGAGAAGATTCGCAGCACCACGTAAGTTATTTAACACTTTTTGTATCCGTCATGCTCCACAAATACTTTTGGTTTCTCTTTTAGAAGTTTTTGATTTTAAGCTCTGCTAACAGTAAAATACGATTAGTTTTCATCTTCCCTCTAGTAGCTGTCAAAACCTGACCGCTCAAGCAGTTTGTTAAAGGCGAATTAAGCCACAACGGTTTCGATTATGGCAAATATTAATAAGAAAAAGGGTTCCGTGTCTTCGGTAATGATCAAAAAACCCTGCGTCATTTTTTTTTCTTTTGGGGGGGGGGGGGGGGGGGGGGGGTTAGGAGAAAATAAAAAAAGAAGCAATTTCCGGCTTGTAGTTGTCCTCATAAATACAAGCTTCGAGTGAATAACTCGTATCTGTTGTTTTACTGTGCGTCGAAGCGGAACGCAGCCCCCCTTCAACTTTTTCGCAAAGTTGTTTTTTTTTTTTTTTTCAGAAACCACACTTATCATTTTTTGTTTCTTATCTAGTTGGTGCTGAGACTCCTTCCAAGTAGTCTGGCTACACATGATTGTTCCCTACATGTGTAGATATCGCTGGCCTGTGTGTTCTCTTTTCTCATACACGCCCCAATAAGTGTCCTTGTTTTTTCTGACACTACAAGCAAACACCGAGAAACACAAAACCGACTGTAAGAAAACAATAATTTTCGGGGCGAAGCTCTGGTGGTGCTTGCCTGCGTAGACCCTGAGCCGCAGACAAGCACCGAGCCTTTCGTTCGTTTTCATCCATGTCAGAAAAAGAATGCGTGATATGAAACGTGGTTATATACATAGACTCTTTACACACGCGCCAAATTACATCCACCATTGCTGACCTTCTCTTGTTTTACCGAGAAACCGAGCCGTCAAAGACGGGCGTTGACGAGTCTGCAGAAAGACCAATGATGGGGGGAAGGACACGGTAGAATCTAGAATGGCAATGACCGGCCTGCTAAGTTAATGACGAAGTGAAGCCAACGGAATGAGAGCAAACAAAAACTGAAGGTCGGTTATGGCAGCGCCCATGCAGAGTTGCTGCAAAGCGTCTGTACGCATTTGAGCATTTGACCGCAGCGTGACATGGATGAAAACGAACGAAAGGGTCGGCTTGCTGCGGCTCAGCGTCTACGCAGACAAGCACCACCAGAGCTTCGCCCTAATCAACATCATTCACCACGTAAAGATGCGGTTGTTTTTTTAACGAAAGGAAACCACAGAAACACGTACACGCTTGCTAGTTAATATTTATCTGGCTAATTATTGTTTTTGTGACTATTAATAAATTATTTTGTTTACTTGGTTCATGCACGGGGCACACTAAACGTCTTTATAGCCTTAAAGAGTAACTGCAAATAAAAAAAAAGTGTTTTTTTGAACAGCCCGATTGGGACAAGCATGTCACAAAACAAATGATCCGCGAAAAAAAATCATTTTTTTTAGCAATATTTACGTCACAGGACGTAATTTAGTCGGTGTCAGAACATTTCCACATTTGAAACTCCCGCTCTTTCGACCACCGCGGAGGAGAACTACGCCCCGCCCCTCACTCTTGGATTTGCTCTTTTTTGTTGAGTTGGCTGTTGAGTTGAACGACGCAGCGTCTCGACTTTCCGTAAGATCTGGCAAAAACGCACGCTAAACATGGCGCCGGTATTGTTTTGGTTTGACGGTACACGAGAAGCTGCGCGGTTTGCGAGCACATAGCGAAGACGTAACCGGAGAAGTGCCCCTCTGATGTTCCCTGAAGACCGAAAGTATTATTCGTAATCGTCGTGTGTGCTTTGAGAGCGAAGGGAGTCACAGGGTCCACGAGTGTGCAACCACAAGCAGGGTGTCGAACCGGAACCGAACCGAACCGAAAACCGGAACAGAACCGTTATTTTTAGCCGAACCGGAACTGAACCGAACCGAAATCTTCGCCGCCATCTTGGAACTGAACCCGAACTGAACCGGAAAAACATATAACGGTAACCGGTTCAAAACTGTTCACGGTATTTTTTTTTTGTTAGTATTACAAATTTATTATTATTGGCACGTGTATTCCTCTACGTATTGATCAAATCGTCATATACAGAATTGCAATGTATAATAAATCCTGGTTTTTTGCGGCGCTTTCTTATTGGCACTATGATTAGCCATGTGTCACAATGTCACGTGACGTCATGATGTCAAGACATGCGGTCAAGTAATGTCACATCACGTGACCCCGTGACGTCACGTGACTCACCGCGTTAAGTCGATTCGAATTGATGACGTCGCTAGATGTATTAACGTTGTTGATACCGTGACGTCACATGACATCACAACTTCGCACTGAGAGTCACGTGACACCATGATGTACCCGATTGTCATGATCCCGATTCAAATGCTCTGGTTCATGACAACCAGTATCGCCAAACATTCGGGTAACGCTCGTGTTCAACTCAAAGATTATGATGGGCCCGAGTCCCACTAGAGCTAGAAACAGAAACAAACGAAAGCGACCAGCCTCAGACACATGCAGCATGTTCGCGATGGTACCTTTATACGGCTTTGAGTTGTTCGGTGCTCGCGAAGTTAGCACGAGTGTTTACAATCCTGCAAATGGTACCATTGTGTGCATGATACTCGTGTTTGAGCATAGCCTTCTTTATTCTACAGAGCCTGGCAAATCGCGAAATACTCTGGTTTAAGGCTAGCCGCTGTCGTTTGTTTCTGTTTGTCGCTTTAGTGGGGCTCGGGCATTATAGCCCAACTAAAATTATATCTGAAGATCAGCCCATGCTCTCTGCTTTGCCAACCCTGCGTATGACTATGATAAACACTGACGGTGTATATATTAGGATCAGATCACGTGGCTGATAGTTCTAATTGTGAGTTGAGGAGGGGAAAGCTGTTTCATTTCTTTCTTTCGACTGTCTGCCATTTCGCGGAGGGGCAAACTAATGGATGCTTTTGCAAGTTATCAACGTCAAGGATTACAACTTAGCGGTATTTATTGAACTTAAGGTAAAAAAAAAAAAAAGATGCTGCACGACCCATTTTGCATGTATGCACACCATTGAGGCTCCCAAACATGTTTTCGTTATTGCTGAACTGCCTCAGAAAGTTGTCCCGAGAATAGAAGTGTTAAAGGGTCTAAATGTGACGTATTAGTCGGACGTTACATGGAACTATTAGTGTGTACGGGAGGGATACCTGAAAAGAAAGATCCGAGTGGCCTCACGGGGATAGCCGAACGTCGGCAGCCGCTCTAAGTCTCACAGGAGTGTCGCTCTCAAGTTCTCCAAGTTTCGACCGCCCTGTATTTTGTTTAACCTTCACAGTTTGATGCAAAGTAAAAGCAAGGAAGAATTAATGTTAACAAGTGACACAAATATAATTGTCGAGTGAACACCACTCAATACGGAGCAGGCAATCCCTGAGGAATAAAAAGTATCTTGAGGAGCAACTTAAGAAAAAGGGAGTGGGGAGGGGGGTAGTTTTAAAGCATACTGTGTCGTAGAGATTCCTCTGCCCCACATTTTCGGCGCAGACTAGAAAGCGTGGCCTGGAAACGATAGTGACAGATGGGTAGTTGGTACAACTTTTATTTGTAAAAACACTCTTGCCAGAAAGCACGTTTTCGTCGTGCCAGACACTCGCGCCGTGCCTAACGACGATGTACCAACAAGAAAAATGTGTGCCTCTCAAATACATAGCTTGCACTGAGCGCGGAACTTTTGCAGCGTGCATTTTTCCAAACCGGATTTGATTTTCTCAGCAAGAACAACTCGCAATGGCAACCAGTATCTAGTGCGATTACGTCACGTGCAAACCATGTTAAATACTTCAGCTTTCTGGTGAAGTGCGACGTTCGCAACACCAGCAGTAGACGTCCAATGTGTAAAGTTGTGTAGTATTTATAGTAGTCTCGCGATGATATACGGCAGCCTAATGAAATGTTGGAGCACATGACTGATAAAGAACAGAGTCATGAAGTAAGGTCTCAAAACAAGTGCACGTAAAACCTAAGATAACATTAGCCTCCCGAGGTAGTATCCCGCGACGTTTCGAGCTCAGGCAAGCTGATGCCCAAAAGTGATTTATATTAGGATTCTAAAAAATCTTTCTTTGCCCTGCGCGGAATCTATGTTTAATTAGGAATATCATTTTATGCATTTCTATGCATTTCTTTTTGCAGTAAAGCGTTGTGTAAGGGATTATTTAGAAAAAATTGCGTGTAATCTCCTTATTTCTGCACATTTCGTGTATTTGCCTTCCGATATATCATGTGACCACAGTGTTTTTTGGCATGCCCTGCAACCCACTATTTTACACTGCAAAACAGCTAACAAAAGCACGTTGCCGAAGACACAACAGCTGGCGTATTTTCGAGTATCGTCCTTTCGTGTCGGTCTCAGGCGGTTATGTGAACTTCATAAAGTCAAATTTATCGATGATAATAAAAATATACTTAATTCCTGTCTGAAGATTTGGCAGCATAAATAAAAGATTCTCACCTCCAAGATATATAAGTAAATGCGCCTTTAAATTATCTGAAAGATGTTCGGCAAATATTTTTCTGCGCTTTTATCCTCTATAGACACGTTATAGGTGATTTTGAAAAGATTTAAATAATGTTTTTTTATTATTTTGAAGCTAATTTAAATAACTATATGTGTTCCTCACGCATATATAACTTCTCAAATATATAGAAGTTTATTATCGCGTTTTTTATGTGTTTTTACTATCACCTTTTTTTACTGGAACGAATGGTGGAACTATGACGATTGCACACTTAAACTCTCAGAAAGTGTCCAATTAGGTAGCTTCCGAATTGAGTTGAGCAAGAAATACCGCTTTGTTCTATTTAGCAAAAATCATCAATTAGCGAGGGTGATGCTTATTTGCAAATTAAATTGACCTGCATTTTGTCAAGAGCAAACCTCATCATCCAGGCTATGCCAGTTTATCCAATATAAGAAAATGTTCACATGGGTAAGCATTGTTTTATGTCAGATTCGATCTCAGTACTAAGGTGC